TGTGATTTAATCCTACAGGTATGTAACAGAATTTGTAAACCTAGGCAATGTTTCAGCTCTTCGAACTTTCAGAGTATTGAGAGCTTTGAAAACTATTTCTGTAATTCCAGGTAAGAAGTAGTTGGTGTAAGGTGTTAGGCCCCTCATATCTCCAACTGTTATTTGTGTGCTGTCATTGTGTTTGTGTGTGAACTCCCCTATTACAGATATGTGACAGAGTTTGTGGACCTGGGCAATGTCTCAGCGTTGAGAACATTCAGAGTTCTCCGAGCTTTGAAAACAATATCAGTCATTCCAGGTGAGAGCGAGGTTAAACACCGAGGCTGACTTTTGTTCTACAAAGGCTGTACTCACATTTTCAAAGCATAAGCCTTGTTTGCTACACATTGTCAACAAACCAAAAAAGCAGGAATCAAGACATGTAATTTTATTTAAATTGATTCATGCTTGTATTGTATTTTCTTCTCAAAAAAAAAAAAAAATCAGCCTTTGAGTTTAACAAATTCTTGCATGAGATATTTGCAGTAAACAGCCTATGTGATTTGCATCTTATGACATCAAGCTTTCCTTTACTTGTTTTAAATATAAGTTAATTTTAAGCTTTCATACTGATGCAAATTTTCTCATTTACTGAAGGCACTTTATACAGCAACTTAATTCAGTTTTAAGTTATGTCCAAAAAATTAAACTCTAAAGGATAGCATGGGCCATGCATGGGGTATCGTTCTAAAGATGTCTTTCTTCTCCAAACCATCACCTCTCACATATTGTGACAAGATTATTATGATATCATGTCAATGTGCATGTATAATGTCTTTACAATGGGGTTACATTAATATAGAATACATTGCAAAAGTTCATAAAAGAAAGGTTTGGGCAAGAAGCATCAGCAAAGCAAACAGTGCTATTCTATGTAGGGTTGAGATATAGCATGAATAATAAAATCACTTGTTTTGGCATAAACAATGTGTTTGATATTATCTACTTTTTAATTTTGTACACTATAAAAGAAGTAGAAACTTACATATTTTCATTCATCTTTCCAAATAATAAGGTTTTCTTTAAAATTATTGTGTCAAAAATTACTAGTCTTTTTGCATGAAATCTTTATCAGGAAAGAAAGTCACATGATTTTTGTGTGTGTTTAGTATCTATTTAACATCACAAGAAAAATCTTATCTCTTTGCAGGCCTGAAGACTATTGTAGGAGCCCTAATTCAGTCCGTGAAGAAGCTCTCAGATGTGATGATCCTGACTGTGTTTTGTCTGAGTGTATTTGCACTGATAGGACTGCAGCTGTTCATGGGCAACCTGAGGAATAAATGCCTGCAGTGGCCTCCAGACAATTCTACTTTTGAAACAACTGTTATTTCCATCTTTAATAGCTCTTTAGGTGAAAATGGTACATTTATTAATGCAACAGTGACAACATTTAACTGGGATGAATACATCGAAGACAAAAGTAAGACTTAATTATATCATCTACTGCATTGATTTTCTGGTATTGATTTAAACAGATTTGAGAACATCACTACCTTTTCCTTGCCTTTAAAAGTGTGTAAGATGACCAAGAAGCATAAAAGCACTTGTTTTTCTCTAGTAAATAAAAGCACAGTCATTATATTATTTAACACTCACAATATTATACTGGGTAGCAAAATATCTTTTTCTTTCATTGAATATGACTTTGAGAGTAAAATCACATTGCAGCATAAACCAGAAATTTCCGTGCTAGCTTCAAGCCTCCAGAAATAGTGTGCCAGCCCTAACATGGGATCTGAAATGTAATAGCTGGGTTAGTGCAAGGTAGTGCCCAATATCATAAGCCCATATCTGAACATGAGTTAGCCCAAGAATCCTGCCAGAGCTGGTCAACGTAGCTAAGTTGTTCCTTCTGGAGTTGGGGGAGTGCTAATTTGTTTCTTATCTTTGGAAAATGAAGCAATGAGCACTTTTTTGTCTTTTGTACCTTACAATGAACTATTTCCACCATTTTAGATAGTTAATGTTAGTACTGTGTTTACAAAACTAATTAAAAAATTCAGATAGAGAAACTCTGAACATATCTATAGTAGATTGGTATTCTGTCTTTCATAACAGTATTGTTAATCTCTCCCATTTATCTGTTCAGGTCCTTCTATTTATTTTCGTGTATTTAGCATATTTAATTTAGCATAATTTAATTTAGCATATTGAATATTTTAGCATAATTAGGCATAATAGGTTTTTAATAAAGTCTGTATATATATTTTAACTGGTGACTGTATAAATGAAAATTTAAGTTTAAGAACTAAATGCTTTCGGATCCAAGTCTCATTGCCTTATAATCTTTTAATATACTTATCATCTCAACATGCTTGAAATATACAAATGTCATGCAGGAATTTTGGATGATAACCTATTCTTAAAGCCATCTGAAGAACAGATTCCATTCCCCTTTAGTTGTTTCTGGTACTATGTCACACAAATAGAGTTTTTTTCTAAATATCTGACCAACATTTTCCTAATTACTTATTGCATATATTATTACATCTACTGTGGATTTAGAAATAAGATAATCACAGACTACTTTATATTAGTCTTTATACAGTTTAAAATCTCTTATCCTCTGCATTTCTGGTCTTTCCTAAGCCAAGCAATCCTGTTTTCTGTTTTGCATTTTCTATACCTATTTTTCTTTTTTTTTTTTTTTTCAATTAGTCTGGCGCTTTTTTTTCTTGTTGTTTTTATTTTGCCTTTTTTTGGTTACAGTTTTTGTTTGCATGGGTTTTTTTAATGATATCCTCAAATTGGGTGCTAACTCCTCTAGCAATTAATTTGTATCTTTACCTCATGCCATATATGCAACATTCCTATTAACACATTTCAAAATTACCTCATTTTTATGTCAGCACTGTATTGTTGATTCACAGTCAATTTGTATTTTGCAGCATTTATTGCATCTTTTTGTACAATGGTGGCTGCAGCCACACCCTGATATTTTGTATTTACGTATCTGATTTTGCCTTGTCAAGTGTAGCATTTTCCACTTGTCTCTATTGGAATAAATCCAATTCCTTTTGGACAAACTTGTCAATTTGTAAAGGTCATTCTGACTTTCAAATACCTTTTCTCCCAGCCTTATGTCTTCAGAATACTTGGTGCATTTTTTTCTATTGTTTCAAATCTTGAGTTGGTAATGCAACATGTTAGAAAACCATGTCTAGCACATACCTGGGAGATCTTCAGAGAGATGCCCTTATGAATTTACATTGCATCACTGGCAATTGCTCTCTAAGAACTTTCTTCAAGTATTTTGTGATATTTCCAGCCAGAACATATCTCCTTTATTTGTATCTGGAAGTGTCAGTCATGCAGGACTTGTACCCATGACTTTTCTGTTATTAAGTTGGCAGGAGACAGGAATAGTTTTGTTTATGTCATATTTTGTACAACTCATATTTACTATTTTTATTACTTTATCATCATTATTTTTCTATTTAAAAAAATAATCTTCTTTGTTTTCCAAAGTACTGGACTGAAAGTGGAGGTGTGCCACATTAAGAATGTGAATTAGGCCCACAGACAATTTTGCAAGTTCTGCTTGGAGCCTGTCTGCATCTTTAACCTTCTTTTTAAGTAGAGGTCAGATGTCTCACAGGCTCTGACTCTGTGACCACTAGAATGTCTGAAAATGCACTGATTTCTTATATGATACCTGAGACTAGAATTGCAGATATATAAATTATGGACATAATTTCTCTCTTTCTTTAAAATAAGCAGATTTTATGCTGCCTCTATCGTATACTGGTGTGAGAGAGTAAAAGCAGTCAGTAGGAACTGGTTGCAATTCCCTGCTTGTCTGTTTAGCATTAGCCCTCAGTTAGTTCATGCCAGCTAAGCTAGTCTATGCCAGCTGGCAGTGAATCTCACAGAACCATCTGCTTCCTGAGAACAGCCAGAACATACCTAGTTCTGGCAACTTTAGCTTAATGTGCCACCTGACCCAAAAATCTCCATTAGAGATTCTCATTTTACCCTAAGAATTGCAAACTGGGAATTGATGACAAAATGTGTTTCCCTTTCTGCTGCAAAGAAGGAAATATAAAATAAAATAAAAGAGTACTGGGGGCTTTTAGACCTTCTGTCTCTTTAAATTATATTTTACCTCATCTTAATAGTTAGCCTAAATATTCAAGTACATTCCCCTGCTACAGAATTTTGTTCATTAGTTTTGTGTAAGGTACAATAAGTGCTTGGTTTCTCCCTCAGATGCTCAAATCAAGATCCAATTAGAAATTTCTTGAACCTGTTGTGTTACCAAAGAAAGGTTGGAAAAGACCTTTGAGATCATCTAGCCCAACCTATTACGTAACACAGCCTTGGCAAGTAGACCATGGCACTGAGTGCCACATCCAGTCTTTCCTTAAACACCTCCAGGGATGTTGACTCCACCACCTCCCTGGGCAGCCCATGCCAATGCCCAGTCACCCTTTCTGTGAAGAAATTGTTCCTTATGCCCAGCCTAAACCTCTCCTGGCACAGCTTAAGGCTGTGTCCTCTCATTCTGTTCACTGGGTGCCTTGCAGAAGAGGCTGACCCCCACCCGGCTACACCCTCCTTCCAGTGAGTTGTAGTGCCAGGGCTTCCCCTGATCCTTCTCTTCTCCAGGCTAAACACCCCCAGCTCCCACAGCTGCTTCTCACAGGAGCTTCTCATTGTGCTCCACACCCTTCACCAGTTTCACTGCCCTTCTCTGGACCCGTTCCAGCACCTCAATGTCCTTTCTGAACTGAGGGGCCCAGAACTAGACACAGCACTCAAGGTGTGGCCTTACTGGTGCTGAGTACAGGGAAAAAAATCTCATCCCTAATATTTCAGGTTTTTTCCAAGGAATACTTGGATAAAATAATAGGTAATTGATAATTATATATGAATAGTACTAAATGTTATGTATCAAAATGCATGAACAAAGGCACAGAATTGCCTTCATCCTCTAGCTCATATTCCTGGTATTCTTTTGATTTGCTAACATACACAATTTGGTATCCCACCCCTTGTATCTTATAATTTTGTTAGGTTGCTAAGAATTAATGCATAACTAACTTTTTCTTTTTAAAGAAGAGCTAACTTCAAGATTCTGTAGAAAGTAATTTTCCTGTCAAAACAATGCTTTCCATGCTTTTTTCATTTCTAACCACTATATATCACAGTTGAACAGTTTGTTACCTCTGCTAATTTCTTTCAAGTGTAAAGGTCTATATTGCACAATTTTCATTAGGCATAAATATTACCTTTCTCATCACCTCTGATTTTTTTTTAAACAGGTCATTTCTACTTCTTGGAAGGGCAAAATGATGCACTGCTCTGTGGCAATAGCTCTGATGCAGGGTAAGAAAATGATAATTTTCATTATGCATCAAAGAAAAATAATTAGCTACTTAGAATAGCTCAGGTAGTCAACTTTAATATCAAGTGTACTGTAGAGTTACAAATTACTAATGTTTTGCATTTGAAGCTATACCTAAATACAACCATCTCTGTCATTTGAATTTATACAGGCACTTCCATCAGCCTCTTAGGCTACTTTTGTAAAGGTAATCACATGAATGATCTGTGCATAAATGTTGCTGCCAGCTTGCTAACAACTCTTTATCAACCATACTACATGTTCTTCTCTTGTCCTGATGGAGTTGTATTATGGCAAATTGTGGGGAAGGGTAGAATATTATTAATTATATTATGAAAGCACTGAAATATTATTAGGAAGTGGAATTTAAAAGTGAAAAATAACAAGCTATGTATTTTTATCTTAGGTATGTAGAATAACATTTTACTTGTTCATAATTTCGTTAGCAACTGGTACTCCTGAACAATTTTGTTTTACTGCAGCATATCGTAATTTAGAGTAGTTGTTAAAAATAGCATTTCCTCTTCTTTTGTAGTCAATGCCCAGAAGGATATATATGTGTGAAAGCTGGTAGAAACCCCAACTATGGCTACACAAGTTTTGATACATTCAGTTGGGCATTCTTGTCACTGTTTCGATTGATGACTCAGGACTTTTGGGAGAATCTTTACCAGCTGGTGAGGACTTATTAAAGTAAACAGCACCATCACCAATACCATTACTACATAGTACTTGCATAGTTATTTTCATTCACTTGTACCTAAGGCCTTTGGAGCAGAAATCATGTTTAATTTCCTATATGTAAACTGTTGTCTAAATAAGGCCATTTTTCATGATTTAGGTCCCCTTATGCTTCTTAAATACATTATAAGGAATAACTGATATTTTATGAAGATGGTTAAGCATTATTTTTTGTTTACCTAAATGAATAAATGAATTTAAGTTGTTAAAGTTTCTTAGCCAAACATACTGTAAATAGATGCTATGTTAAATTGATTTGCAGTCTAGTAAAATTATGTTTCGTTTGAAAAGGTTACATCTTGTCCCTGAACTACACATATCCTTACCTGAAGGACTGTAATTTTCTCCACTGTAACATTTTGTGTAATGCACTATTTTTGTGGCAGTGTAGTTTGGGAATGATGAGACAGGAAGGTAAGATGCTGATCAGTGGCCCCACCTACTGTTAAATTTAAAGGCTATAATGTAGATATATAGATTCTTATTGGTATAAGTTCTGAACTATTCAGAATTGGATTTACCTTGACAATAGCAGACACAAAACCTTTTCACAAAACCTTTTCATTTATATTCAGGATATAATACTATTTCTATAAGAAAAAAAAAACTAAATAATCTTGTGCTAACATAAATCAATCTTATATTACTAAATTATAACACAGAGGCTAACTCAGTACGCAACCGTAGTTAAAGTCTTTTTAAAAAGTGTGTTACCTCTTTTTCTCCAGACTCTTCGTGCTGCTGGGAAGACATACATGATCTTTTTTGTTTTGGTCATTTTTCTGGGCTCTTTCTACCTGATAAACCTGATCCTGGCTGTGGTCGCCATGGCCTACGAAGAACAGAATCAAGCAACAATGGAAGAAGCAGAACAGAAAGAGGCAGAATTTCAGCAAATGCTGGAACAACTGAAAAAGCAACAGGAAGAAGCTCAGGTATCCTTGTAAAGTAAAATTTCTTCTTCCATTCATGACTGTGAACAGATGCTTTAGGTCCACACATGAGAATACTTTTACTCTGCTACTCCTAACAATATATTATTTTGTCTAATAAATTCCTTCATACTGTAAATAATCTCTAATGTTTTCCATTGCACTGTTTTTTCTGGTTTGAGTGAACCTGTTAATTTTGTGACAAAAATAATAACCAACATGCTAAAGCACTGGATTTTAGAATTGGAGATGGAAATCAGCTTTTTACAAGAGCACTTGAACAAGTTGCCCAGACTGTTTGTGGAGATAATAAAAAGCCATCTGGATATGGTCCTTGGGCAGCCTGCTTTAGGTGTCTGCTGGAGAGGTGGACATAATGACCTCCAGAGGTTCCCTTCCAATCTCAGCCATTCTGTCATTGCCTGAAATGGAGGGGGAGATGTGGAAAAAAACCCCAAAGAATAATTGTGCCTATATAAGTAACAGAAGCAAAATTATTGTAGGTGATGGCGCTTCAGCAGTATTTGGCTTTTTCTGCTCCCTCCCTATCTCTTACAGCAGAAAGCCATAGCTTTCTAGTTTTAAAAAGTATTGGAAAAAGTGGAGAAACAGAAGAAAACACTTCTGTGGTACAAATGTAATGATTACATACTGCTTTGAAATCCCTTTCCTTTTTTGAAGGCTCTCAAATCTTTAATAGCAAAACTATAACGTCTGCTTGGCATGTGGCCACGTAGAGCAGAAGTTGAACTATGTCTTCCATATAAGCACATGACTAAAGTCAGCATCAGGGGTTTTTGTTTCATTGGTCAATTGCTATCTGTTGGAGGGGCATTGTGGGAATTTTTTTGTTGTTTTTTTACCACAGCTTGTAAATAAATGTTAATAAAATGCTCCACATGTTTTGAAAACCAAACAGCAACAAGTACATAATAGTTTGTAGTTTAACACAAATCTCTGATTATTATTTGCAAAAGTGTGATATCAACATTACATAATTACACAATATTAATAGACTTTAATAGAGAGTATTCAAACCCTATGAAAATATAAGAAAGTGTTGCTTCCTGTTAACAGGGGTTTTACCACTTGTTTGAGCCTTGATTCTTTATTTTTACATAGTACTTCAGATGTAAAATTCATTGCAACATATTGCTTCAATCTGAAACAGATGTTTTTTAACTTGTTTTTTTTGACAGCACAAATCCCTTGGGTTACTCTTGCTCCTGGTTTATGGAGCAGTGGTTCCTGTGGTATTTCACAAATTATACTTCTTATGATATGCTAGGTTTGGTGAAGTCGAAACATTGCTTTTATTTCAAAATAATAATTTCTTTAAGAGTGGCTATAAATATGTATTTGTATAATGCTGTAAATTGCACATGTGCTTGTATGTATAGGCGGCGGCAGCAGCTGCAGCAGCTGACTCAAGAGATTATAGTGGAGTAGGTGGAATAGGTGGATTCTCCGAAAGTTCTTCTGAGGCATCAAAACTGAGCTCAAAGAGTGCTAAAGAGAGAAGGAATAGAAGAAAGAAAAAAAAGCAAAAAGAACAGTCTGAAGGCGAGGAGAAGGATGGGGAAGAATTTCACAAATCTGAATCAGAGGACAGCATCAAAAAGAAAGGTTTCCGATTTTCCATTGAGGGGAATAGGCTGACATACGAAAAGAGATTCTCTTCCCCACACCAGGTACCATAGTATTATTACCTCCTAAACAATTTTTTTTAATCTACTCATCCTATAAAGAAAGTCCTGTTTGGTTTATTCTTGCAAGATACCACAGATTCATTAATATACTAAATCAAAAGACTAACCAAGCAAAAACTTGCAGCCAAATATTAAACTGTAAGAATTTGAGAGATTTTGGTTTTACTCTGAATTCATGTGTGAAAAATCAAAATTACACATATTAATTAATATGAGCTGTATTTCAAGCTTCTTAATTAAAATGGACCTATCTTCCTACCAAGTTGGATGTATTCAGCATGATGAGTAGCTTCAAAACATGGTGCATACATACAAAATGGAGTGTTTCAAATGAGAAGAGTATTAAAATTTGGGATGCAAAAAACTCAATAGAAATTGCATTAATGCTTATGTGAAATTTGAGAAATTAATTGATGTGAGACCATTAATTGTGTTTTCTTAAAGAAGGTAGAAATGTGTATGGCAATGTGTCTTTGCATGTATTCTCTTACATTGAAACACCAATGACTCAGCGTGCCATCTGCATTTCCCATCCAGACATTTATTTTATTTGATAGTTTTGTAATGTTATCTCCTACAGTTTTCAAAGCTTCTTTTCATTTGCCCATTTCTCACTCTCCCCTTAGCACTGCAAATCCAGATCTCGCATACATTCTTTCCTTTTTCTGCCCCTTTTTGTGCCTCAATATGCTTCTTCCTTCTATCTCCATCTTCTCAATTTTCCCTGGTCTTTATGACTTGCTTTCTCCCTCTTTTTAGTCATTATTACTAAACTCATTCTGCCTTTTTAATCTTCTTCTCTTTCTGTCTCTGGAAAGATTGTTTCGTTCCTTAATAGATCATGAGTGTTCATACTCTCTTCATGTGTTGTTTTCTCTGGCCTCCCATTCTCAAAGAAGCTCAGACCTCTTCATCCAATATTTTCTTACTAAGGACTGTCCTCCTTAGACCAGACTGTGGTGGGAATAGAATGTTTCTGACTTTCTATTTCTGCCACTCCTTCCACTCACTTCCTAATGTATTTCCTTTATCAATAGTAATGCATCCTTCCCCCTTCCCCACCTCCTTGGTCTGACACTGTTTTATGTTGTTAACTGTCTAACTAATCTCTGTGAGGCTTCATTGCTGAATCTAGCTCATGATTCATTCTGTTCCTTATACAAATTTTCACACATGTCAATTGACTTCAACTTTGTGTTGAAGATCCATCTGATCCCCTAGGTGCATATTCTTGCCTATCTCTTCATTCAAACTGCAGCCTTATTCAACTGCAGATCAATCCATCCATCTTGTAAGAAATTAAGCATTCCTCATATAACTTGTTCTTCTAACATTTTCATCTCCAAGTTCATTTACAGTTGTTTGATTATGACAGTCTAGAAATCACCTCCCCTCTGGTTTTCCAACCCTAGTTCCTTTTCACTCTGGATTCCAACCACTAAACAGAAGTTCCACTCACCAGTTTTTAATATCATTTTCCTAGAGAAAACTCAGGCTTATATATCATCTTTGACTGTTTCCTTGGCATTTCATTTTCTTTTAATGTAAATGACCATTTTATTCCTCTTGAAATCTTATTCTTCCTAACATTCATAACTTTGTCTCCTCTCAATTCTCCTAGTTTAGTTGTGCTTTAGGAGATCCTTTTACCCCCTTGACAGTTTTCCAAGAGATTTCCACAAGGCCTTTTGCTAGATCCCTTTTCTCTCTCTTTTTCTTTCCTTTATTTTTTTTTAAACTCTATTCTGGACCCACAACTGTGAATCATTTTTAACTTGGACCTCTTTTCTGCTGTATTCATCAAGAATGTTGTTGCAAAGAACACTAACCTATCCCATTGCTTTTCTCTAATCTGCTAGTGAATATATTTGCCTAAAGAATTTTTTTTTTAATATCATAAAACATACTGTACCTAAAGTTCCTCCCAACCCACCATGTCTACTTACAGTAAACAAGTCCTGGCTTTGACTGACCCAAAGCAGCATTCATAACCTCCTGTTAAATTTTCAAACTAGTTTCTTTGAGCTCTTTCCGGTATGCTGCCCTTCATGCTTGGAAGAAGCTCCCATGAGTTTTCACAGAACACTTCATTGCTTTCCTCAAATCCCTCTTTAAAACTCTCTTTTACCATGCTGCCTACAGAAAGCTTGACAGGGAAGTGACTTCAGGTGAGCTAAGATGACTGTTTTTCATACTCATCAATTTTGCCTCTGTGTAATCCCTCTCTTTTTGTATCCATCTGTTGTGTTACATTTACATGATAAGTTCTTTGCAGAGTGCCTTTTTGTTCTGCATTTTGCAGTCCCTAGTACAATGGGGCTCAGGCCCACAAAGATAAGTTGCAGAAGAGAAACAAAGACACTGCTTTGTTATGTATCATCTCTGCTGTTCACGGAGGTCTTGGGTGAAATCAGCTGCTAATACTTACCAATCAAGTCAAGGCAATTACTGATATGAGTTAAAATTAAGAACGTGTAAAAGTAATTGTAAGACTAGAGCATTGTTTTGACTCTAATACTGGAGATCCTCCAATAGCAGAACATTTATTCTTATGAGTAAACTGATGGAGATTAGCAAACCTGTTCATACAAAATTACAGGCAAATTGTTGCATTTTCGGGATAGCTAAGACTTAAAAAAAGAAATAAGAAACCTATTATGGCCTAGTTGACTAATATCTGAAAAAGATATGTATGTTTTTAAACTAGGCAGTATTTGGGAGCTACTTCTGTGTGCAGACTGAGTCACAGAAAATTTGCCTAAAATTTTATTTACTCAGCCTGTCATACTAATGCCAGCCTGGGGTAAAGAGTGTCTAGATATACTTATTCAGTTTATGAACAGTTGGTAATAATATAGGCAGAATAGCAAAGGAAACAATTCTGTCAAGCAGTTTCTTTTACTCTAATTAAACTGATTGATTTCATATATCCAAAGTAGTAAAATAGCTAGTCTTTGTCTGTCACTTATGTGCTCTTCGTTTACTACCCAAAAGGATGTTAGAGGGGGGACTGTACCAGTTCATTTCTTTGTAGATGACCTTACCCTTTAAGACATTGTGGATTTTTCCTCTGTATGAAAATGTTGTATTCTAAGGGATTTTCATCTGACAATAATTGTTTTTATTTACCTGCAGTCTTTGCTGAGCATTCGTGGCTCCCTGTTTTCCCCAAGGCGCAACAGCAGAACAAGTCTTTTCAGCTTCAGAGGTCGAGCAAAGGATGTGGGATCAGAAAATGACTTTGCTGATGATGAGCACAGCACTTTTGAAGACAATGAGAGCAGAAGAGATTCTCTGTTTGTTCCTCATAGACACGGTGAACGGCGCAACAGTAACATTAGCCAGGCCAGTAGGTCATCCAGAACAGTACCTGCACTTCCAGCAAATGGGAAGATGCACAGCACTGTGGATTGCAATGGAGTGGTTTCTTTAGTTGGTGGGCCACCAGCTTTGACATCGCCTACAGGACAGCTTCTGCCAGAGGTGATGATTGATAAAGCAGCCACTGCTAGCAATGTAAGAAAGTCTGCAATAGCTCAGGCATGATGTTCTCTCCCTGTATGATCAGTCACTGTTTCCACAAAATGTAGTCACATGGCAATGATGACTTTCTGGCTAAGCTGTGAATGCTCCTTTCATGTATTCCAGCTATAAGCTAAAGGATAAACTGAAATTGTCCAGCTCTCATTAATTAAATATGTGAAAATGCATCCAAATTGACTGGGGATTAACAGAATAGCATAGTAAACCATTGAATAAATTTAATTTGTGTAGTTTTACGCCCATTGATTCTTTATGCTTAGACTTAACTGGATGGTTCTGTACTTGTATATCAGAAAGGATATCAAAATGGGAAAAAAATTACATTTACTTAATCGAATATATCGGCTTCCTGCTGTCCATACATGAAACTTTTGATGTTACCCTGGTAGGACAACTTACAAGGGTTGTGACAGTGTTCCTGCAATATAGCTAATTTTCCTATGGAGTATTTTTTATGTCAACATCACAAAATATTTTTCCATTTGTTTGAAAAATGTGCTAGGAAATCCATAGTTTATTCTAAATTAAGAGTTATCTTAAGAAAATGCACTTGTGCTTAGTTCCTTTACTGCTAGCTGTGTGGGCTGTACATTTTCATGTTTGGAAAAATACTTCACTGCCTAAATAGAAAGATATTTGCAGCAAAGCTCATTGACAAGCACTGTGGAACATTTTTTAGTCTGAAATCTGCTTTAATATCTCAGGCCTGCTTCAGCAAAATACTTAAAAACATAGTCTTCAGGCACAGGAGCAATGTACTGCAGTGTTTGACTATTTGTTCTATACAGTCAGGCATACCTTAGTCTGTTGTGAAGCTTCACTATAACGAGCATGGGGTGGGACAGCAGTGCTTTAAACCAGTAGAGCTCTACAGTAACTTAGAGTGTTATTAAATGTACAGTCAATTAGCTATTTCATCTATGTTTTATTTTCAGGGCACTACTACAGAAACTGACTTAAGAAAGAGACATTCTAGTTCTTACCATGTTCCTATGGACTACCTAACAGACCCAAGTGCAAGGCAAAGAGCAATGAGTATAGCCAGCATGCTTACAAACACAATGGAAGGTATGTAACACAGATTTTTTTTTTATGACAGTGCCTTAAAAGTGCTATCAAATGTCTGATGCATTAAGTAGAAAGATGTTTTAAGGCATCTATTTCAGCCTAGAGGGTACAGACAAGAAGAGATTTCTGTATGGAGTTAGGGGTAGATTTTTTGGTGTTCAGGTTTTTTTTTTTAATTTGGGACTGATAAATTTGGAAAAAGAGTCAAGCTTGCAACATACTGATAGGTTTGAGGTAGAAGTAGCAAGTTTCCAATTTAAATGCAAGCAAAACCAAAGCAAGCAAATTATTCAATGTAGTCTTTCTCTAGTGAAGTTATGTTTTGGGGTAAGCTCTTTTTAGGTTGCTGAAATGGCTGTGCTTGTTGAGTAGAACAATCCCTTTCTACCAATTCAATAGACTTCATGTTTTACAAAGGAAACATGTTCTTCTTTCTGCAAGGCTGAATACAATTACTTTGAATCATGGAATTAAGCAACTATTCTAAGAAAGGGTGAAACATTATGTTGAGGCTTAAATGACTATGCCCAAAATAGAAAGTTGGAAGGTAATAATGAGCAGTTGTGTAAACATGGACCATAATGCTGTTTAAATACTAGTCTGACTTCAGGCTTGTTCTCAATGCTTATCTTTCATGAGGAAATTTTAAAATATTTTATTGGAAGGGGCCTTAAATATAATCTAGTTACAATGTCATATTCCCTGCCATTGTCAGGAGCACCTTTCACTGGAGCAGATTGCTCAAAGCCCCATCGTGGGCCTTGAACATGTCCACAGATAGTAGGGCATCTACAGCTTCCCTGGGCAACCTGTGCCAGGGCCTCACCACTCTCACAGTAAAGAATTTTTGCCTACTACCTAATCTAAACCTACCCTCTTTCTGTTTAAAACTGTAAACCCTCATCCTATCACTCTACTCCCAGATAAAGGCTCCCTCTTCATCTTTCCTGCAGGCCCCTTATAAGTACTGGAAGGTTGCAGTAAGGTCTCCTTGGAGCCTTCTCTTCTCTAGATATAAGCTACCCCAGGTCTCTCAGCCTGTCTTCATAGGCTTTGTGCTCTAGCCCTGAATATCTTTGTGGCTTCCTCTGAACCTGCTCTTGTGCTGGGAGCCCTAGAGCTGAACACAGAACTCCAGCTGGAGAAGAGGAAGAGAACTCCTTCCCTCAGCCTGCTGGCCATGCTGCTTTTGATGCTGCCCAGGAGGATATTGGCTCTCTGGGCTGTGACTGACGTTGTTGGCTCACACTAACTGAGTGTTAGTTAGTTAGTTTTCAGCCACTAATAACCCTAAGTCTTTGTCTGCTGGGCTGCTTTCAATCTCTTATCACCCATGCCTTATGACAGGTTTCTAAGAAAAGTTTCTCTTTTGCATTCTATATAGCATTAGCTTGTGAATGGTTCTTTTATCTACTGAATCATTAGTATAGTCGTTTTGGGGTTTTTTGGGGGGTGTCTTTTTGATTTGGTTATTTTGTTTTTAATTTTTAATAGTTTATTTTAAATTGTAATTTCTTTTAGCTGAAAGAAGTCTTAGTTCCAAAATAACAACACAGTTTATCAACAGTACCTTGGAAAACAGCATTTAGGCTTAATGGAAATATCCAGGCAATTCTGGAATAGAAAAATATGTTTAAAATGTTATTTTCATTTTTCTCTCTAGAACTGGAAGAATCCAGACAGAAATGTCCACCATGCTGGTATAAATTTGCTAACACTTGCTTGATTTGGGACTGCTGTACTCCCTGGCTGAAAGTCAAACATATTGTAAATTTGATTGTGATGGACCCATTTGTTGATCTGGCCATTACCATCTGCATCGTCTTAAACACCTTGTTCATGGCCATGGAGCACTACCCAATGACAGAACAGTTTAGTGGTGTGCTTTCAGTAGGAAACCTTGTAAGTCTTTCATGATGTGCCATGTATGTAAAATGTACTTTTCTTTAATTCTTTTGTGACTTTTGCACATTCATGTAATAGAAAAAGTTGACTATTTAGAGGTTTGAGATTGTTGAACTTAAATTTAAGTAGCTGACATTTGTAAATTTCACCACTCTTACTTTGCAGAGTAAAGATCTACTGAGTCAATATGCACTTTGATTTTTAAAATCTTCATCCTCTGTCATTGAAGCTCATTGATGGATAGTTAGAAATCATAAGAACTTTCATTTCCATTCCCCCACTCATTCTGCTCCTCCCTAGCACCTTCTAAGGAGCTGGGTGTTCAAGGAATTTTAGAGGGGAAAGACCCAGTAAGCATGACATATGTAAGGAAATGAAATGGAGTGGCGGTGCCTTCCACAGGCCACCCTGAAGAAGAAGAGTTCTGCTCAACTTTCTGTATCATTTTTTTCTTAATAAAATAAGTTTATGATAGGAACAATTATCTTTATCTCTAGAAGTAAAAAGGTGGTCTAAGGACAAAGATGAGCTCTAAGGATATAAAAATTAGCATTAAAATCAGATTACATTCTGTGAATTGGCATACATACATATTAGCAAGCTTGATAAAAACCGTGTTTTCCCATTTACCTCTTTTTCCTTGGAGCCCCAACATTTTGATGCATATGTAAGCTTCAAATATTAATTTTATTCCTAATCCCAGTGTATGGAAATATAGAGAAGATATTCAGATTTATCATTAATTTCTTGCTGAAAATACCATTAATTTTACTTTTTAAATACTTTCTTCCTAAACTGGAGTAAGGAACTGTATTTCCCTTGCAGGTGTTTACTGGAATTTTCACAGCAGAAATGTTTCTCAAGATAATTGCCATGGATCCTTATTATTATTTCCAAGAGGGCTGGAATATTTTTGATGGTTTTATTGTGAGTCTTAGTTTAATGGAACTTGGCCTTGCGAATGTGGAAGGATTATCTGTCCTTCGATCATTCCGATTGGTAAATATACTATTTAAAATATGTTCCTATATTACATTTTTGTATTTGTACGTATATATTTTGTGCACTTTTCATTTGCAGATTAAATATTTGGCTGAGACAAAAGATCTTTCCAGAAAGCTAAACTGCATACTCACTAGATGGCATGTATATATTATGTCAAGTTTATTTTGCATATTATCTGAGTAAAGTCTATTTCTCCTTCAAGATATTGTCAACATCAATTCTATTCTGAAAGTATGCTTAAAGGATTAACTTTTATAACAGAAGTATTTTGTAGAGTCTTCTCCCTAGATGAGGGAGTAAAAAAAAAGCAAGAGCCACAGGTTCCTCACTACCTGTGACTGAAGATTAGTAAATTGCCTGGTAAATAATGGGTTAATTAAGAAAAGTTTCTTGACAATTTTAGCTTATATGCTTCCATTACCAATTGCCTTTATCGGTTCATTTTAAAAGAGAGAAGTGTTAAGATTTTTCATTGTCTGGGGGCTTTTCATCCCTACCAGCCTTGTCCATACCATCCTGGGCAAGGGACTATCTGCTCTCTAGCAGCTTTTCTGTTCAGAAGTCACTACAGTGTCTCTCTATGTTATTAGATATCTCTTTTATGAACAGGAACTCGAAAAACCTTGGTCTTGCTGCAGACTAGGCTAGCATGCAATTCAGTGTCCAAATACTCTTTTGAAAAGACCTATGCAGTGAGAGACATGAAGCTAGCATTCCTGGTCATCAAGCTCAACTGACTTAAATTAAAAAAAGATATTTAACTTGAAATGAAAGTTAAATACATCCCGTTTAAAAAAGGAGTTTTAAATATGTGTTTTCTGGTTCTCTGCATAGTATTATATTGTACTTTGCCTGAAGTCTAAAATCTGGCTGGATTGACTTCTCTCTCAATAGTAGATTTTGGTTTTAACTTGACATTTATGTGTTTTCTTTATAAAACATAAAATCATCACACAAAACAACATTTAGCTTTATATTCGTTATAGTATTCTCCTCATTCAATTATCTGAACAATTGCTGTGTCTTTCCAATAATTTCATTTTTGTCTGTTTCAAGATGTACTTAATACAATACTTCTCTTTTTTTCTCAATGTTGTGTGACAAGCTTTGTAAGACACATTACATTTATTTTAAATGGCAGAAAATATATTGTTAAAGATACTTGCACGTCACTTGTATGTCTGTCATTAACAACTCTAGCTTGTTTCTCTTTTTAGGAAAAACATTTCCTCCATCTCACTGCCTGTTAAGATGAAAGAACCTGGAAGTGACTATACACTTATGGTCCTGTTAAACTGATCACATTTCATATGTTCTCATTTTTTTTTAGTAATATTTTCTCGGAGTTTACAGGAGAATGACTGTTTTGTACAACTTCTTTAATAAGTACAATTTCTTTATAAATACTAAAGTCACCAAAAGAGAAAAGAGTCGAAGTTTGAATTGGATTCTTTGTGATAGTTTCAATGTAATTGAAATGAGCATAGAGACATTATTTTTGATTTCTTATCACTTGTATCAGGATTTAACACTGCTGATGTGTATTGTACAAAGAACTGGAAACAGAAATTTTGTAACTAAAACTTCAAAGATTACAAGAGACATGATGTAGACACAGGGTAACTGAAATATGAAATGTATAGCAGTAATTTCATTACTATTAGATAATAAAGAACCATATACCATTCTTCTGTTTTGCAGCTTCGAGTTTTCAAGTTGGCAAAATCTTGGCCAACCCTAAATATGCTGATTAAGATCATTGGCAACTCAGTGGGGGCTCTGGGGAATCTGACCCTGGTGCTGGCCATCATTGTGTTCATTTTCGCTGTGGTTGGGATGCAGCTGTTTGGGAAAAGCTACAAGGAATGTGTCTGCAAGATCTCCAGTGACTGTGAACTTCCTCGCTGGCACATGCATGACTTTTTCCACTCCTTCCTGATTGTATTCCGAGTGCTGTGTGGAGAATGGATAGAAACAATGTGGGACTGCATGGAGGTTGCTGGCCAAACCATGTGCCTTACAGTCTTCATGATGGTCATGGTGATTGGAAACCTAGTGGTATGTAATCTGTGGGGGTTTTTAAAAACTCTTAAACATATCTCCTGTTTTTCATGATTTAGAAATCTGAATGAAGACTAGAGAAGGACTTCAGGAAATCATGTAGTTCACTTGCCCTCTCTGTACACCAGGTTCAAATATACCTTGATTATCTGTGAAAAATGTCTTTTTTTTCTTTTAAGTCTCAGCAAGTTTATAACCTCTTTAGTAAGATCAGTGCTGATTATGCTTACAATTGAGAGGGTTTTTAAAAAAAATCTAATTTAAATCACCTTTTACAGCCAAGTAAACTAAATTGTCTCAATATTGACGGAAAACTGTTGGTCTTTATGACATTTATAATACTTAAAATCTTACTGTTTCCACTTTCAGTCACTTCTCTGTGAAACAAACCTAATTCTTTAATTTTTTTTCTCGTAAATGATGATTTGTAAATGGCTTATCCCTTTTGCTGCTGACCTCTGAATTCCTCCAAAGCAACATTTTAAATACAGATATAAGTACTGAATAATGTGGAATAATCATACTTTCATTTTTTACACTAGCATTCCTTGTAGTACATCCCCAAAAGACACATGAAATTTCTGTACCAGCATTGCTTTCCTGATGCAGCCTCTATGCCCCTTTCTTCAGGGCTTCCACATTGCCAGTTTTCACACCTTCTGTATATATAATTTTTATTTTTCTTAGCAATCCTTAACACAACAGTACTTCAGAATTAAACACCATATTGATTTTTGGTGTTTTCCACCAAATTTCACCAATTTTTCATAAACCATGGTTATGTTTAATTGTAGTTCTTTCTCCTTGAGTGCTGACATTCTTTCTGTATTAGGCATGATCCACAAATGTTATAAATATGCTTATCCACAGTCATCACTACCAAGTCTCACCAGACTAATGTGAGTCCTGTGGCATAGCTTTTAAAATATTCTGCAAGTTTGAACAGGGAGAACTGACAAATATAATTTAACTGATTCTTAATTAAATTACTTTTAATCAGTTTTGCACATGATCTGTCATAATTTCATGCAATCCAGTTTTCTCTTTTATGTTTGTAAAATGTCATGCAAGAAAGTCTGAAATAGATTTTTGAAATTGCAGTGAAATAGTTTCTTGAAATTGAGGTGTATCACATCTGTGGACTCTCTCTCTTTGCTAGTGTTCCTGCCCAGAAGCAAGATAGACTCATACATACTTTTGTATAAATACGAAATTTAACTATATTCTGAATGAGAGATACTAGAACTATGGTCTGTTGGACTGTAGAAGACTGGCATTTGCCTACATTCCCCTGGCTTATGAGCACTACAGTAGATGTAGCTTGCATAAATCACTAATTATGTTGTACTCTGCCTCGTTATGTCATTCTTCATTTTGAGAAGAAGGTCTGCACTATTGCAGATTGTGACTGAGACAGTCAAGGAACAGCTCAGATTTTCACCTGTATTAATGAAGTTAAACTAGCTAAAAGTGCTTTTGGCAAGATAATAAAATATTGAGGACAGGGATTATGAACTGAAAGAATAGCAGGAAGGTGTGTAGAAATAAAGTGTTACATGTGAAATAAAAATTATCTCATGTTGAAAAACTCATAATATATTGCTTTTATGACTTAAAAATAAGAGTAATTTTTTCTTATTTTCTTTTATAGGTACTCAACCTATTTCTGGCCTTGCTGCTGAGCTCATTTAGTTCAGACAACCTTGCTGCTACAGATGATGATAATGAAATGAACAATCTCCAGATCGCTGTGGCAAGGATTCAGAAAGGCATAGATTATGTGAAGAGAAAAGTGCGTGAATTCATCCAAAAAGCCTTTGTTAGAAAACAGAAAGTTTTAGATGAAATCAAACCTCTTGAAGACCTAAACAATAAAAAAGACAGCTGTATTTCCAACCATACAATAGTAGACATAGGTAAAAACCTTGCCTATCTCAAAGACGGGAATGGAACTACCAGTGGCATAGGCAGCAGTGTGGAAAAATATGTTGTTGATGAGAGTGATTATATGTCATTCATAAACAACCCAAGTCTCACCGTGACAGTGCCCATTGCTGTTGGAGAATCAGATTTTGAAAATTTAAACACAGAGGAGTTCAGCAGTGAATCAGACCTGGAAGAAAGCAAAGAGGTAACCCTATTTCTAATTTTTAAATACTCTGATGCTTTTCTCTTTTTTTTTCTGAGGTTACTAGGGTTGAATTAAAATCTTTCTTTAATTCCTTTACAGTAGCATATACAAACTCATAATGTTATTTAAGGTAAATTGATGTAAGGTCTGATTGATGTGAGCTTTGAAAGGTGGTGATACAATATTGCATTTTCAGTAATAATGAAGATGTGTAAGAAAATTTTCAGAAAAGTAATATTTTTTCTATTTTATTTACTTAAATCCTTAACAAGCAAAGTAACCAGTGCAATAGTCCTGGATACCAGAAGTCCTACAAAGCGTGTCTGGCTAGTGGAAATTTCTCCATGCTTATTTCATTAGAGCAGTTTATTTTTTAATCTGCTTTTTTAACAGTTAATTCTGATGTTTTTAACCCTTTTTATATAGTGAAAATGCATCCATATACATCATAGCCTTATGGTAAAAAAGTTACAAAGCTTAATATCCCAGTATAAGATGCTTTCATTTGACTACTCATTGTTATTTTCAAAGCTTTAAGATTCTTGAGTCTGTTACCTACTGTGACTAATAAAATGTACCTCTTTCTGGCACAATGTGGTGCCAAGTGGATAAATCCAAGCTAGCACTGAGAGTTATAGTGGATGCCAAGGCATTATTACTGTGTGTGTATTATTAACCCACTGCTTTGTCCTGCACAACTGAAAGTGGTGGAGGCATATCAGCTCAAGTGGAGTAAGTCTGTGCAATGCTTAGTACTGATGCTAGTCCATTCAGCATTAGCATGGATATTTTTGAACAGTATTGCATGCTGTGGGGTAGACATAAATTAACATAAGGCTTTCATTAGTGATTTTCTCTTACTTGAATTTGAGGGTATAATATGGGTAAGACTCTAGTAATTTTCCACCTGAGATCCTTGTTTTGTACCAAGTGCATTACACATTTATTCATATTTTCTTGTTTCTTATCACAAATGTCTTTATTATTATTATGAAAATATTTCTTTTTTTTCAGATTGATTGTATTAATATTTATCTTGCTCTTCAAAACCAGTACTTGGGTGTAGAACAAAGCAGTTGTAGTTTAACCTTCAGTTGTTCTGTTCTTCACTGCACAAGAGCACTTATGCACTATGTCAGTAGGAGAGGTGGAGGATGAGCTTTACACAAACCTCTGTGCTGGTGTTTAGCAGGGCTGAGTATGACAATGGTGCATCTCTTCACTGTATAACTGGATGATGTGACTGCTGAATGTTTTCATTAGCCAAGTCTTTCTTTTCTTCCCACGAGTTATTCTACAAGATGACAAAAATACTGACTTCCTATAGAAAAGTTTTAAAGCAGATTATCCCACATTTGAGGCATGATCTCCAGTCATTAAGCCTCCACCATAAAAGAAAGGCTTTCTACTCCACCTACCACATTTAAAACAAAACAGTGTCTTCATTGCATTCTTGGAGGCACTTAATGTTGTTGTGCTTCAGGAGCTGCAAACTGATCAGTTGATTAGACAATGAAATGAATATTAAGTCAGGGTGATCAAGTGCCAAGCAATTTTGACTGGCCAAGTCTGAAACTCTGCTGAGCATATTTGGGGCCAAAATTTCTTACTAATGCAGATGCTGAAGGTGAAAAATTGAAGGGAATGTTTATCATTTTGAGGGATTTTTCTAGAGACACAGCAGTAAGCAAATATTGTGAGCATATTTCTTATAAAAGTGCCTACATTTCAAGTAGATTTGAGTCACAGAAGCATGGCATAAAAGCATTAAAATCTTACTCCTAGTTTCTTCTCTTCACTAGATACTCTTAACCACCATGTTTTTTGATATAGTGGAGTGTTGGCTTACTAGTCAGCACTCTTGTAATGAAAATACTCCATAGGAAAAGTAGGCATTTTTTAAATTAAAAAATTGACTACAAATTACTTTTTTACAAGCTTTCCTCTTTTTTGCTGTGCCATAATGTGCCTTGCATTTCTGGCCTCTCATATTTTCCTATTTATATGACACTGCTGTTGCTAAGTTGATCTGCCAGTCACTTCTTTGCTTACACCACAAATGAAAAAATCTGAGTCAGGAGCTGCCGTCAAACTGTGTTCAATTAGCAGATTTGCAGATGGAAGGCAGTTGAGGTATCCAGGTGCTGTGAGGACACTGCACAATATAGCCAGATGCTGGTGTGTGTCTGTGTGCTTCTGCTTGCTTCTGTGTCTACAACCAAGTACATGTATTCACAGTTGTATGGGGCAATAAGCAGAATTCCAACAAAATAATTATTATTTATTAGCAGGTTTTAATTAAGCATGTTAATGTTTGGTGAATTCTTTATTATAGCACACGTATCTTTCAGTAGTTTCACAGAAATGTTAACTAGATTATGCCTCTGTAGAAACAATAAATACAATGTTGTACATGCTTAGTAGGTGTGAATTAACAAGGAATTTTCCAGAAAGTTACTGAAACCTAAAATAAATTTAATTATAGAAACACTGTGTCCATAAGAATGTCAGTGGGTGAACACTTCCAGTATAATAAGGAAATTAGAGAGCAAACACTAAATAAAACTTTATCAAGGAAGTAGACCATTAATAATTGTGGGATCACTGTGCTGAGTCCATTGTCGTATAAATAAAGGTCTGTGGATCTGAGCTGCAGTACTGCTATTTAGTGTAGAAACTATAAATATATTTTTTCCATTTTAGGTTCTTAAGTACTACAAGGATGGTTTATATAGAAAATTTTGCAGTACATGTATGACTGTATAATAATTAGTAAAAATAATCATAATAGCGGGTAATAATTAATTTATGTTAAATGTAACTTATAGGCCAATAATAACACCAATGACAAAATATTTTTCAATGCTTTGAAAAAAGCGGGATCTCCTAATGCTGTTGCAGACACATGAATAATGTATATTTTACTTTAAGCAATATTCAGCGCAAAAAACCAGAGGTGCTGTGTCCTGAACTTCATTTCCTACCGTTCTTACTTCTCACAGGAGTAGGACCAAGCTGGATCAGTCAAGCGGGCAGCTCTGGTGCCTTTTAGCGAGGCAGAGCATCGTGTCACCAGTTTTACACAGGTTACCTAAGCAAGTTATACATCTCTCTCTATCCTATTTAATCACCTTTTAGCAGATATTGACTGGCCTGCATGCTCTTCAGCTATGATCCCGTCCCATTCATTGCAATAAGTACCAACATGCACAGCTGCTCCCTGCTGAGCCACGGGACTCGCATCACAGCATGGTCAGGCAAGAGCAGCAGCCCCAAGATTTCTGTGGTTCCAATACTCTCCATAATATTTAAATAGTATTTTGCAGTGCATGCTATGTACCTTTCCCAACCTTGCTGATACAGAATTCAGGATTCTGTTTTTGAAGGGGTTTCTTTTGTTTTCAGGGAAGGCAGATTATATAACACATATGCCACGTTTCTCATCAGAAGCTTATATTTATATATAAGTCCATCTGTAAATTGTGTTGCTAATGAAAAGCTGCTAGCTGTTTTAGAGAACTTCCATACTATTGTATTTTAACTTATAATGGAGGTAACCTACAAACTCATCATAGTCATGTTTTTATTTTTCACATTTTTTTAGAAGTGCTTTCCTTTAGTACTTATATAAACATTTAGTTATTTTGGAGATCACTATGTAGTACTTGGAGCATCATTGAGCATGAAATTAATTCAATTTCTGCAGTCAAAGTGTGTGACCATAATTTGGTTGAAAGAATTAATACAAAACTGTTATTTGGCTGGTTAAACATTCAGAGATTAGTTCTGCTCTTACACTTAGGTGTAGAGGTGCAAAGAGAACACTGATTGCAAGATGTGGCCCAATTCAATCTTACTATAGCTCTTTAATTTATGGCCAAACATTATTACTTCCCCAAACATCTAAAATTGTCTGCCTTGAGAAACTTATTCTCATCTCATCAATAATAAATAAAGTTCAGCATTCAAGTAAATAAGCTACTGAGTTTGGATCAAAATGTCGGGAAGTTCCCCAGCTTCAGTGTGATTTACATCTCACCTATTAAACTATGCAATATTATTTATAACACCACAGTTGCTGCTTTCAGTTTTGTACATCAGCGGAATTAAAATATACTTGTTCCAGAGATTTTCCTCTTACATTTTGTAAAGAATAATTATTCTGATAAGATGGATTTTGATTTAAAATAGTCATTATTTAAAATCCTTTGATACTCTGAAGAATTTAGGCTTTGTATTGTGAATGGGTAACATTGTATTGGCATATTGTGATTCACTGTGGATGATATTAAGTTGTTCATGTTGGAGTTAACTGATGTTTGCTTAATTAATATTTGCAAACAGCAGTCCTTTACTCTGTTTCAGAAGTATCCTTTCACTATTGCTTGTATGAATAAAAGAGCCTTTTTAAGTAGGTTCTGGTGGGAGAGCTTTTTCCCACCGGCACATATTTCCACTGCTACTTAAAATGCTTTTGCCTTCATACAACTTTTTTTGCAAATATTTTAATTTAATAAATTCTCATTAATAAGTAGATAAAAGGAATTATGAATATCAATGAAGTCCAGAGTGAACTATAGTTTAGGGATAGTGGGTTTTTGCAGTATCTGCAACCAACAATCACCACAAAATCGTTTTGATTTGATTTAGTGTTCTGGATTTTTGTACTCATAGTTATTCTGCCTAACTATATAAGCATTAGAAAGAGTGACATCCAGATTCCACTTAATTACACCACAGGAATCATAATGATATCTACCACTTCGAAAATTTTATAGGTGATAGAGCGGTACTGAAAAAGACTGGATAATTTGGATATAAAACTTCCATTTATATCACAGACCATTTCATTTTCATACTGACATCCACACAGCACTGAGAAAATAAAACCAATTTAACTTCCATTATTTATCATTTTCACAGGTATTTGGGAGGAAAGGAAATTGAAAGCAAAATCAAAATAGTGGTTTCTCTTGGCGCCATCTTCCTGCTTATGTCTGTCCTGCTCTTTGCTCCTTCAGTTCCTTAAATTATGATTTCAACATCTATTAGTGACATCCTGGCCAATCATGAAATTTCAGGTTTTGTTAAAAATGTTAAGCTAAGAGCTGTCCAGCTACTGTCAGATAATCATCTTTGGAACCAACAAAGAAATGTTAGAAGTTAAAAGTGGCCTGGCTGTAAGTGAAGCAGAATTGTATGAATCTGTGCGATGTTATCAAGGTTCAGAAAGTAATTATGTCAAAAACTTCCTGACCTAATCTTGGCTGCTGCTTTTTGCAATGCTTCTCTGATAGGCAAGCTGCTTTCCTATCTTGAAAGCTAAACTAAAATCTATATCTCATACTGTTCTGTACTGCTGACTGAAGCATGACTGGCAAGGCTGTTGATACATGTGATGTAAAAGATATTTAAATCTCTATGATAATCAGTATACTGCTGCTTTAGAAACATGTAACTACTTTTGCCCCTTACTGTTTTCTTCGAAAAAGAGGTGGAGTATGTACATTCTAAGGTTTTGAAAAACAGATTTCTCTGAGAATAATTTTCTTAGCATACTATTCAGAAAATTTCTATCTTCATAACTCTAAAAGAGTGTCTAATGCTTGATCCTGACAAATCTCTTATAATCTGCATGACTGAATCCTTCTGAAATCTACAATCATGGTATAACAAAATGCTTACAATGAACTTACTATTAGATCAAAGCTAATACTTGGGTTTGATGGTTATCTTGTTTCTATAGGTTCATTTTTTAAAAAAAAGCTATATACGTGTTAAGTAAATAGCCTAAACCCAGTTTTTGTAGTGCTGGTAAGCAGAGAGCTATTTGCCAGGTACAAAGGTAACTTTCAAATGTGTTTTGGTAAAGAACTGGGATATATATTCATACTTAACATATCAGGGTCTGCAGTTAGAGGTAGTCTAGCAAGTCACATTAATGCTAGCAAAAGTCTTCCTATGTATTAAGGCATGGACAAACATAATAGCAGTAACATGGTCCATTCCCAGGTCATGTTATGTTGAATACACAGAAAACAGTACAAAGTCCCTGAGTCAGTTGCTTTATACCAGAGCATAAGTTTGCTGTGAAAATGCATGAACTGAAAAGTTTTCCTAGCATATTGAACTTAATTGATTCAATAAAACCTTGAGATGTTGTACTGTAAAATCTTCCTAGCTGTTTCTGATGCATACTAAATTTTATAAATTTTGTACATAATGCCATACAATAAATTCAATAAATTTGTTTAAAATAACAAAAATTTAAAAATAAATTATACAGTTGAAAATTTCTAATTTTTGTTCTTTTCCAAATTATGCTGAATTCTTACAGACTGAATATACTGAATAATTTTAATAACATTTTTCTTTATATAATGATCTGGTTGGGGGTAAATTCAGGTACAATAGAGCAGCATGCTAAGGAAATACTCTGTTACATCAACAGAAGAGTGAATTCTCAGTGGGATAAGGCATTTAATTGTTGCATTTCAAGGATCAGCTGCTGTTGATTCAATTTAGGATTTTTCTGTTCAGTTTAACTCCTGTGATTATTGTTACAGCTCTGTAAAAGAAGCATACCAGATTTTTAGTGAGAAGAGACTTGAAAGATACATCTCACCATACGTAGTGGACCACATAAATTGTCTTTTTGATGTTCCTGATAATTGATAGTTCTATTGATAATTTTTTACCTATCTGATATTTGTGATCTCTCCTTATAGTGGCTATATCTAATCTTCTATGTTGAGTTAACTGTTAGTTTTAAGCAATTTCAGTAATAGAATTCATTATCTTTTTGTGCTTATTAAACTAACTGCATAATATCTGAGTCACTGAACTCTTCATTTTCCTGTAAAAGAATGGACAGTAGGTCTTTCAAACTTACGGTTCAGCCAGTTCATAATTTTTGTTTGCTCTGCTACTACTACAGCATTCTGCTAGAAATGCTCTCCAGATTGGAATGATGCAAGCAACATTTTAAGAAAACACTATGTAATAAAAACAGTCACTTCTCAGTTTAAAAATTATTTACTGTATTGTATTAATAAATGGTAATTTTTAACATCATATATAAATTTTTTTGGAATGTACCTTGCATTTATAGTATTTCCGGCCTTTCCTCAAACTGATAATTGATTTCCACTGATATTTAAATGCTGTGGTCATTACATGAGGACTGCAGTATTTATCCCATACTTTCCAGTTTCTCCATTTTAGAGGCAGTATTCCACAATGACCAAACTGCCATGCATTATGTGTAATTCAAACATATTGCAATGTGAAATTTGTCAGTAATAATCTGCAGAAAAGTGTGCATCCATCTCTTTGTACATTGGATCTGACCTCAGTAGATGTTAAAACTCATGCTGAAATATGAAACGTGAATGTCTAAGCTGGGATTTTCAAAAAAGCATAGATGAAATGGGTGTGCAGATATCGCTGAAACTAGGTGCATAAGGCACCCTCCAATACATGTTTCCATTTGTTTGGCCTTCCTCTGAAATGTGCTCCATAATGAACCATGGTACACAAAAATCAAAGTTAAGCTTATGTCAGAATCACAACACAATATATTGTCAGTGTGATTCAATAGAATCAGAATGGGGGAGAAAGGAATTAATCTTGGTTTTGTTTGAAGAACATACTGAATATTTGTTGCTGTGTAAAATTCTATTAATATCTCAAGTTACTTTCTGTATCCACAGACTAATACTGTTTACATTTCCTTTACAAAAAACTGTATAGAATTTGAAGCTACTCTGAAATGTTTTTAAGGAATAATGCCTCTAACTTCAGATTTAAGTGTCAGCAAAAATAGATATCATTAATTTTACCATAGAATATCTGTCTAATATTAATTCCCTATAGACTCTATTCTAAATCTGCTTACATCATTCCCTTTATAAGATTAGCTACTTATCAATGCAGCCATTTTACTGATGTTATACTCCATATAGTGATAACATTAGAAGAGTCATAGAATGCTGTAATCAAACTACTTTTACTTATTATAGTACTCATATTTGTCTGTTGCCAACATCATATGATGATGTGAAAGAAAAATTTTTAAGGTTTGGATTACAATATTGGTATAATCTATTGGTGCAGTATTATTTTATTAAAGTATTGTTTTAAAAGCATTTATTTTCACTTCTGTAATTCAAAATTTCTTTTGGCCTTTTATAGTAATTAGACATCTATGTGTACTGTACCAAAGTAATAAGTAGTTTCAAAATGCACAATAAATTCAGAAAATGCATTGGCAAGTGAGTATGCAAAATATCAGCTACTGCTCCTAAAGTAATATGCTGCTCTTTCGGAAATAAAGATAATTAAACTGTTGTATAAAACTCATAACATGTGTTTTCATGTCAATAATAAAGAAAAATTATATTAAAACTTTTTATATTTAGGTTTTTACAGACTTGCTATAGTAATATTTACTTGAGACATGAAAATACATCTTTGCAGCTTGCTGTTGGTTTGGTCATGATGTTGGAAATTTATTTGTATTAACAAATACTATCTGAAGTGTAACCTAAAATGCAGCCACATGATTGGAATACTTAAACAGTACAATATATGGAAAGCACCCATTCTCATCTTACTGAAATTTCACTTCAAAATTCTTATGTGTGGCTTAAAATAATACTCTAGTAATTTCAGCGATTCCTTGTATGAAAATATCAAAATATTTTCAATAGGGAAAATGCACATTATGTAGTTTCTAATCTTGTGACCTCACCTGTAGTAGAGGAATTTGGCATTATAGATTGTAGATAAGAAGTTAATTTAGTATCACAGCACTGAATAAAATCAAAGTATTTTGATATACATTTCCAACATTAATTTCTATTTTAAATAATAAAACCGGAAAAAAATAATTATGTGGGGTTTCATTCACAGAAATTGAATGCATCCAGTTCATCAGAAGGCAGCACAGTTGATATTGGACTACCTCCAGAAGGTGAACAGCCAGAAGCAGAACCTGAAGAAGTTCTGGAGCCAGAAGCTTGTTTTACAGAAGGTAGGCAAAGCAAAATAAGTGCAAGACAAATAGACTAATTGTGCTGACTTGGGTGGGATTCTCTTTTAATTCAAAATCAAAATAAGTTTACTGATTATAGTTGTAATATCTGTTTGTATTAATAACTCTTCCAGAGTTACTGCCGTAGATTTCATGTATTCTTGAGTGTTCTTTTTCTTTCTTTCTTTCTTTCTTTGGAAGGTATTTCAAAAGATACTTTTAAAAGCTTTAAATTCAAATGCTAAACAAAAATGCTCAAAGAGGAATTATAAGGATCTAATGCAGTAGTACTGAAATAAGTAAAATGATTACCATTCCTTGTGATTCCTAATAAATATTTACTTTATTCTGACATCTCAAAATTTATTATCACATTTAGGGTGTGTACGGAGATTCAAATGCTGTCAAGTCAGTGTAGAAGAAGGAAAGGGGAAAATCTGGTGGAATCTTAGGAAAACCTGCTATAAGATTGTTGAACACAACTGGTTTGAGACCTTCATAGTCTTCATGATTCTTCTCAGCAGCGGTGCTCTGGTAAATTAAGTGTGGAACAATTATGACTATTGTGATTTTAAACAGCAAGCATGTAAAATTACAGTTAATCACATAGCTACAGGTAACAAATTACAATTTGATATCCAATTAATGAATGTTCTAATATAAACATATATCTGCAAGTATTTGGCATATATTGTAGGACATGTAAGAATTTGCTTGAGGGCTGTGAAACAAATTGTTTGACAAGTTCAAAATGTAGTGTTAACGGAAATAAGAAATTAGTTTTATCAGACGGTGTTCTCATGTCTTAATATTGATGGTAATAGCTTTTTTTTTAATACACATTTAAATAAAAACACAGCTGAGCTATGAACTTAGCAGCAGCAACTCGAATTGTCAAATTGAGGAGGTAGGGCCCTTGTTATCTGTAGTGAGTTGACCCTGACTGAATTCCAGGTACCCACCAAGGTTGCTCTGTATCTCTGTGTGGACAGGGGAGAGAAAATATAATGAAGGGTTCATGGGTTGACATAAAGCCTGGAAGAGATCAGCCACTAAATACTGTACTGGGCAAAACAGACTCAGCCTAGGGCTATTAACTGAATTTATTGTTAACAAAATCAAAGCAGGATAATGAAAAGTAAAATAAATCTTAAAAACAGCTTTGTCCCATCTCTCCCTCCTTCCCAGCTCTACGTCCTCCCCCAGCAGTGCAGGTAGACCAGGAATGGGAGTTATGGTCAGTTCATCACACATTGTTTCTGCCACTGCTCAGGCAGAGGAGTCCTTCCCCTGCTCCAGCATGGGGCCCCTTCCACCAGAGACAGTTCTCTATGAATTTCTCTGATGTGAGTCCATCCCATAGGCAACAGTTCTCAAAGAAACTGTTGCAATGTGGGTCCCTATCCCATGGGGTACAGTCCTTAAGGCACAGCCTGATCCAGTCCTCCTGGTCCTACAAGTACTACTGGGCTACCTGCTCCAGCATGGGCTCCTCTCTCCATGGTCTGCAGGTGTCTGCCAGGAGCCTGCTTCAGCATGGGTTTCCCACAAATTCACAGCCTGTTCTCAGGCATACCCCTGCTCTGGCATGGGGCTTTTCTAGGGGCTGCAGGTGGAACTCTGCATCCCTGTGGATCTCCATGGGCTGAGAGGCACAGCTGCTTCACCATGGTTTTCACCACGGGCTGCAGGGCAATCTCAGCTCCAGTGCTTGGAGCATCTCCTGACCCTCCTTCTCCACTGACCTTGGTATCTGCAGATCTGTTCCTCTCACATATTCTCACTCCACTCTGCCTGCAATTCCACCTGTGCAATAATTTTATTTTTTCCTTCTTAAATATACTATCACAGAGGCGTTACTATCATTCCTGATTGGCTTGGCTTTGGCCAGTGGTGAGTCTTCCCTGGAGCCAGCTGGCCTTGGTTCTGCTGGACATAGGGGAGGCTTCTAGGAGCTTGCCACAGAAGCCACCCCTCTAGCTCCCCCCACTACCAAAACCTGGTCACACAAACATTGTCCATGGAAACAAATTAAAATGAAGTTTGAAGAATGGTCTTTCAGTAAGTTTTGTGTATCGCTGTTCAACTCAGCTGAAAGATGAATATTGTTTGGATCCAGCTTTATGAAAAGTATTAAGTGAAAGCCAAAGTTATACTTGAGGGAAAGATACATGCCTTATCATCATGTATATTTTTTCAATTCAAATTTTTTCCTGGCCATTCCTATATGACACTGCAAATTGTGAAGACCTCTAATTATATCTTCAAAAATCTTTTTCGCAGGCATTTGAAGATATTTACATAGAGCAACGTAAAACTATCAAGACCATGCTGGAATATGCTGACAAAGTTTTCACCTATATCTTCATTCTGGAAATGCTTTTAAAATGGGTTGCTTATGGCTTTCAAACCTATTTCACTAATGCATGGTGCTGGCTGGACTTCCTGATTGTTGATGTATGTATTCTTTTTCTTGTCCTGTATGACAGGCTTTAAAAATCAAAATGTTATGTTTTCAGGATAAGATTTCTATTAACAAAAACTATTTTAACTGCTGTGGTGCTATGGTTTATAATTCTGTTCAGAATGGAAAAAAATATTTGGATATATTTATTTGTTGAGATGTTTTGTTGAAATTCTCTAGTTTTGTAAAGTTGTAATTCTTTCTTGAAATGATGCTTTTTACTATATTTTTTTTGGTGGTGTAGAGAAGATGCTGTTCATCCTCTTCAGGTTTTTTTTGTTTATGGAAACAATTTCTCAAACGGTTTCTAATATTTTAATCAATTACTCTAAGTGTCCTGTCACTTACTCTGTGCAATATGAAAGGAAAATACTGCTTAAGAATTGCCAGTTCCATTGTACTATTCAGTACCCTTGCACTTTTCACTATATCATGGGGGTGACCTCAGTGAGACAGTTCAGAGACATTTCAGAGAACCAAAGATAAGCCCCCTTAGAATAGGTTTCCACATGATTTTCCAAAGGCTGCACTACCAAGGAGCAGATACACATTGTCCGAAGGAGGCCTGGTGAGAAGTGCATTGTAATTTCAAGTCTACATGCACAACAATGTATGAAAAGTACTAGGTAGCATAAATGGAAGACTACAGATCTTTGGCCATATAGCAGATATTCACTTCCCTTCCATCCCCGATAGCCTCATTTACCTCTGTTTGTGTTAATAGTTCCACAGATGTAATTCCCATGGAATGCAAGTTAAGAGTATATTTTAAACCTCCTATTTGGGCATTACAAAAAGCATCAGAATTCTATAGAAATTGCTAAATATTTCCCTAAAACTGCAGTGATAGATCATGAGGTCTTTACTACACAGAGCTTGGAAAATACTATATCTTGTAAATCCAGACCAGCATTATAAATCCTATGATAAGACATGACTATATGGTCATATAGTATTTTATTATTGAATCAGTACTTTTGTAAAACATGTATTGGCTCAATCATCGATGTGTAAATTGTCATGACCAGTAGAGTTTGTATCTATCAACAAATATTTCTTATTCAATAATCTGTGGTTTAGTTACTTCTGTGACCCTTATAAATAGCTTTATTAATTTTCCATGTCAACCTTACCTTTGTGCAATTTTTTAAATTAAAAAAATGTTATCTGAAGCATTCTTTTTAATCTATAGTCAAGGGGTAGAAATAAAAAAGCAAAAAGAACAATCTAGATATGAAGGAATTGAAAGAACAGGAAGGATGGAAGGGAAGGGCATTAAATGGATGGAAATAGAAGGTGATTTGTTTAATTTTTGATTTATTATGGCCACTCCTTCCCAATGACTATTAGAAATACATATCTAAGGATTATTGATGAAAGATAATTGTATTATTTATTTTACAGCTATTCTAGTTTATTTACTCATCTGCCTGCAGACCAGACCAGCGTTATGCAAGCCAGAATTGATGAAATGGTTAAAGGAGTCACAGGGAATGTAATGAAGTGTGGATATGCCTAACAGTGAAGCTTCTACCATTGTCTAACAAACAGTTGGTTCTCAGTCTTGATTAGTCTGGTTAAATCTGAGCAGCACTGGTAGCTAAGGCTGTTGAATAAGATTTTCTGGACACTAGAAAGTTCCATTTGAACAAAAGCAAGGTCTGGATGTGGTTTCTGAGAGCGTTTACATTCTCGTCAAGCTCTGAAGATATCATGAGAAGTCGTGACCTAAACTGACCATTCCAATTCACCCAGCTTTTGGGTGGTTTGTTTTTGCATGTGACTTCATTTTTCTTTAAATGCCACCAAATGTTGACTGGTTTATGTGAATATAGAAGGCACTTTTATACCATTCTACAACATGATTTCATCAACAGGTACCTAGAATACACTTTTATTCTACTTTGTCTGACATAAAGATTTTTCTGCATTATAGATGGTTTCCTGGAGAAAGAGGTCCAGCCTTGAATCTTCTTGAGAAGTTCAGGGCACACATCATTCCCACCATATGTATTGGAAGGATATAAAGATGAATGAGCAATATTGCCTTTCTGTTTTTGTGTAGGTCTCTTTGGTTAGCTTAACAGCTAATGCCTTGGGCTACTCAGAACTTGGTGCGATTAAATCCCTTAGGACACTAAGAGCTTTGAGACCTCTAAGAGCCTTGTCGCGATTTGAAGGGATGAGGGTAAGACAACATGAAAGAATCTGAAATAATGCATGCATCCAGAGAAACAATGCATGCAGAATAATCAACGACCAATCCATGCAGAAATGTTACACTACCATCCTATATGTTTCACATTTATCACTAACATATAAGCAACAGGCTTCATCTGCTTATATGAATTCATGTGTAATTGCACATATTGTTACACTTTAATGAGGCTCCTTGGCCTTTCACCATTTTTCATATTTTCATGGAGGGCCCAAGGATTTATCAACTGCATGGATCCATGCAATACTACTGAATTTATCCTATACAAACACATCTGCTATAGTCAGAACAGTTTAAAAAAAACCTCCAATACTTCCTCTTAAAAGTGTGTGCACATACATCATGTATGCATGCACATGTGTACTTTATACCAGTTTGGAGAATCATACATAGTCTCTATCTGTTAACATAGTATTCTGTATATATAAATTGAGAACGTCTTTTTGAACTAAAAGTTTTGTAATTAATTTGTATGTTAAGAAGTAAATTGGCACTATTAAAATACTTTATTTCATATTAGAACCATTGCATTCTATTTAAGAAAATTTTTCTAGCATATGAGAAATCAAGCTGGTTTTATGATTTCTGGTTGCTTACTGCTTTCCATATTGATTGTAAAATGTTGATTATAATCTATAGAGCACTAGGCAGCCTGAAAACATATTAGACTTTTCCTGGTATGTTTGAGAAGTTACTGTCCCCATCTGTTTGTTATCATTGTTAGTTACTAGAGCTGAGACCCTGAGCTGCCCAACAGGGCACGTTCATGTCTGTCTCAGTGCAAAGTCAAAGTTAGTTTAGATCACTTCTTTAGTGCACTGAAATGGACTGCACTCTGCTATGACTCGAAAGCTCTAGAAATATTTTTCTCAGGGGTAGTAATGAACAACCAGATATGGTAGATATTTCTAGCTCCAGCCACAAGAAGATGTCTGGCTTACACCTTCAGGGTCCATCTGTCCCTCTTGGATGAACTGCCATAGTGGGCATCAGCAGATGCACCTCAACTGGAACCCTACTGCTATAATTAAAAGGGATCCTTGTGTGAGCTCCCTTCTGTGATCACTATTGTTTGGCACCCCAGGTGATAAGCTGATTACCTCATTTGTAAGTCAACTACAAATTGGTGAGCTTCTGAAGAAAATGTCATGCTCTGTGTGTGTGGAAAGAGAAGACACTTCAACCAAAAAAGAAATGGGCTTTGATGAAATGTTATAAATTAAAACAGGAAATATCATTTCTTTGCCTACAAAAAATTTCTGGACCTTTACTAAAGCAAATTTGAAAATCTGAGATGTTTATATCAGAGGTAAGGCCTGTATGAAGCATCAGCATTATCTCACTAAAACCTCAATTACTGTTGGGGTTTTTTTTGATTACAACAATTAGCAAAGCAAAAAACCCAAAATAAAAATATTTCAAATTTTATATAAAATTGCTTAAGTGGCAATTTATTGATGCAAGGAAAAACCCAATAACCTTGTCATGCAGGTTTATAAATAATTATCAATCCCATGACTTCCATGTTGGTGTAAATTTTACCTATGGATTTGATCCTGATCTGCCAACTATTTCTCTTTGTACAATACCCAGATGAGGAAAAGATTTATGAGTTTAGCAAAAAATACAATAAAAAGTAGTAGATTAATTTAGATTATTTAAGATTACAAATCTGACCTATAATTTCATTAGTTAGGCAATTCACCACTGAAATATTCCAATGGATGGAATGAATTTTGCCTTATTTGATTAATTCCAAGTTTAGTGTCTTTAAAAATACAGTAGCTCAAGATGACAAAGAGATTAGTATGAGAACATTTTAAGGTCTGATAAATGGAAATTCAAGATGTCTGTTCATAACATAATCATTCCACTGGCGTTTATCATGTATGAACTGAAAGTATAACAATACAGTACAATGCATATAGTTGCATAGATGCTTAAATTTACTTTCCTTGAGCATTATACTTCCCATATACAAACAGGAAATTCCATTCAATGCATATAAAATGTTTAACTTACCGTATTATTCTCTAGGATTTGGACTTGTGCCTGCTCAAACTAGTAATTAATAGAAAAAAATTGCCCCATGAAAAACATGATTCTTTTTCCCCTGCATCTTCCCACCACTGTTATTGTTAGGAAAGTTATACTTTAATTTGCACTGGGTAGTTCACTTTCACTAAAATAGCCTGTGGGAATATAATTAATCTGTCCATGCTCTGTCCCAAGCAGTATCACCACTACAGATGCTAGGCACTAATACCTTTTTCTTTCCACTAAGAAACAAGGGGTTTGATGTCTTTCTTATGCTTCTCCTGCTTTCATGTACTGTCAGGCCTAGCCCTCTTTTCTCACACCCTTACTACCAGTGGAAGCTGGAAGGTGTTGGGATCAGTGTTTCCAGTGATGCTCAGCCATATCTTTTGAGTGAATTCAAATGATTCGTATCACAAGCTGGTTCCCTGTAGCTTTAGGACTCAGACTAATACCAGAGAAAGTAGGTCAGCTGTAGAAATCCAGTAATTAAAGAAAGAACATGACTGGACCTGCAGCTGCAGCAGAAACAGGAAAAGAATTATTGGGTGTACTGAGACTGAAAGCTCGAGGACAAATATTTTCACTTCATTAACTATCCCTTTATAACTCAAGAATCGTTCCTGATGGATGATATTATTACATTTAAGAAATTTGCTTATATTTTTTGAGTACAAGAATTGAGATAACTTTCAATTAAAAAAAAAAAACTAATATATTTGGAAAATATTTCCAAATTGGGAAAAAATTATCTTGCCATTTATTATTCCAGCCAAATTGCTGTAAATGTGAGTTCATGATTTTCCAATTTAACCTAATTCACCATTGTTATTAGACTGGTCATTGGCTTAGGTCAAACAATGTCTTATGGCCTCCTACAGTCAGGTGGTTCACAGAGCTGAGTCCAAGCTTGTCAACATAAGACAGAAATATAAGCGCTGTTGACATAGAAGAGATTTATCCATCAGTTAGGAAATCCTCTCTACCCAGCTGATGACTTATAAAATTCTATATTAGTTTTACTTATTAATTTATAACAGGTATTGCTAAGGAGATTTTTAATATGATTAAGAAACTATTCTGATTTGTTTTAAATTTCCCCACTATAAATAACCACTTATTAAAACATTTGATTTACAATATGTGGGAGAAAAGGTACAAACAAACAAAAAAACATGGAAGATTTGGACTCCATGCACCATTCTGTGCTTTTATAGAGTCATGGAGTATTTGTCTTGAAAGCAACTTCATTTGATATAGTTCCTAAATTTAAATATAACAACAATTTCACTGAAGTCCTATAGGCTCTCAAATGTTGTCCAAAGTATGTATCACCCAAAAGAGGTAGTGTTTTTGACCAGGAATGAGGCCCTGAAAGTAAAACAGTAATTTCTCTTTTCCTTCAGCCCATTTCTACTTTATAGTACACATGATGGTGGTTCATCACCTAACTAATATTCAAAGGGTTTATTTTCTGGTCTGTAAAAGGGCAAGGAATGAAAGTCCATCTACCTGGATGACTAATTTTATAATTCATTGATTCTATGGATGGTATTAGTTGCAGATACAACTTTAATGCCAAAAGACTTCATAGACCTTCACTACGTATTTGTATTTCGAACAGAAACAATAAGTTTATTATTCTAGGGGATCTGCCCTAGTACTTACATCATATAAACTAAATGAATTATAAAAAAGCCCATCAAAGTAATAGCTAGTTTTTTGCATAAAAAAAGCAAACTTCACTAAGTTTTAAGGATCCGATTCAGTTTTAGCAAAGTTGGCGACAGTGCTCTATACTTAAGAAATTTTATATTCTTAGAGTTATTTACAGAGAGATTTAAAAAGAGAATTAAGTAATTTAGCATCATCAGTTCCATCATTAAATTAATAATTCTCATTCATAACGGACCTACTTTCTCCCAAATTTTATTTTCCTTAGTGTTTTATTGTCATTCTGGCATGTTTTTAATCATTGCTCATCATCACACATGAACTCATTTTCACATTTTTCTTTCCTGAAGCCTGATTTTTCCCAAAATTCAGTTGGTAATTAAATCAAGTCTCTTTTTCAAGTTTTATCTACCAGTTGCCTGAAAACTACAGATCTGGTGTGTTCAGATGCTCAGTAGCTTTCCTGATTTGAACGTTTCTACTTTTCTGATTCTATATATAAACATCTAAAGGAACATGCATACATCACTGGGTTGTGTTTTTAAAAAGACTCAAAGTTAATTTCATTTAGAAATTTGCTCAGTGGTACATTTGAACGTACTTGGATTTGTTTATCCAGTAAACATGTAATATTAAAAATTTAGTTTGGTTCAGTCAGTGATTAGAATTATTATGGTTTTGCAGACATACATTAAGTAAATATTCTAAAAAGCACTGATAAATACTCCTTTTTCCTCTTCTTGTTTTCTTTTCGTTTGTTTTACTAGTTCTTATTTTACCCATTCTTTAAAGCCACTATTTGCTACTATTTGTATTTTTTCCTTCTAATTAAGTTTGATATTTTATCTCTTACCCTTTCTCTATACTGCTTTTCTGACTTGTTATTCTCAACAATTGAAGTGTAATACAGATATTAGAATTATAATAGCATGTTACATTTGAGAGTGGATGATGAAGCATTTGTAAGATCCTGGTGCCTCTGTTCTTACAGTGTCTCTCTTTGGTTTCATTTGTACTCCAGGTTGTGGTGAATGCCCTGTTAGGAGCAATTCCATCTATTATGAATGTGCTTCTTGTTTGCCTTATATTCTGGCTGATATTTAGTATCATGGGAGTAAATCTATTTGCTGGAAAGTTTTACTATTGTGTTAACACTACAACTGATGAGAGATTTGATATCAGCCAAATTAACAACTTTAGTCAATGTGAGGAGCTCATACAAAACAATGAAACTGCCCGGTGGAAGAACGTGAAGGTTAACTTTGACAACGTAGGCCTTGGTTACCTTTCTCTGCTCCAAGTGGTAAGTCACCAGCCCTTAATTTCTATTTCTCTTTCTATCTCTCTATTTTTTACTTGAACAGTATTTTTTTTTTTACTTTTTTTTACAAATTTATAAATTTTGTCTCTCAATTCTTGGTTTGAATTATGAAGTGTGGGATAAATCCTTGACTCCACAGAAATAACACAAAGCCTAGAGGATATACTGACTATGAGAAAAAAATAATTCAAACAATACACCTTAGCTGCATTGAATCTGTATCAAGTAAACCTCTAATGCTCATGCACAGAAAAAATAAATTTTGCATCAGATATAATTCACAATAGGCAAAAGTCCTCAATGGGTGCTATGTTCTCTTTAGTCAGATATTGGAATTGGCTTGCAATTCTTGTACATGAATAAAACATGCAGTAGGAGGCAATGCTGGTTTCTGTGATGAGTACTAAAGACACTTAATTTTCAACTCCTCAAAAATGCTTCTGACAAGCCATTTTCCAGGAAAAGTATGACCTAAACACCTGTGTTCTTTTTATAGGCTACATTTAAAGGATGGATGGATATCATGTACGCAGCTGTGGATTCTCGTAATGTAAGTATAGTCCCATGAGTCCATTTGTTTTGACTGTATGAGCTCTAAGATTTGAGAATGTAATTTTAACATCTTTCAGAAATTACAGTAAAAATGAAAGAACAAAGAGTTACTATAATTTTCTAGTTAAAGAAAATGGAAACCATGGGAAAAACACAAGAAATGAGGAAAGCAGAGGAGCAGTCCTAAAGGATTCCATGTTCTCCATGGTACACTTCAATCAAAATTCCTCAATCCTACAACATTTACCATTGCCCTGAAATACCTTTTCCTCCTCTCATTATGCATTGAGCCATTCTTTATATTTGGAAACAGACACCAATACAGAGAGGGTTTTTTTTTGTCATACTGATCTTATTTATTAAGTTATGAAAGTTAAGACTTTCATTGTGGTCTGCAAGCTGCCTAACTCCTTTCTTTAGGGTACAGTGCTTGCTTTTGATTAGACCTGTGCATTTTCTTACCCTTTGGCCAGCCCCTTGTTCCCTTCGTGCAAGTTTTCCTCTAGTTCTAAGTAGACAATTGAATAAACTATACTGGTAAAGCATTTTTTTTTGTAAGCTGCACTCACAGCAGGAGGCTTCTTGTAGTATAGTGAACGTGCATAGCTATACCAAGAAAATATGCTGTGTCTAAACATGGCTTGGATACCTCCCTTCCATAATCCTGTGCAGTTTCCTAAGTGCCTGTAGCAGTGAAATCTCTAGAAGTCCACGACACTGGCCTCCCACAAGATTTACAGAAAATTCTGCAGGTGTAAAACTTGGAGTTTCTGATTGTCTGTACACTCAAACAGGTGGAACTTTGCTAGTTTAAACCAATTGTGTTTTCAGTATTTATTCTACATTTGTACAGGCCACACACATTTTATAAAATGAAATATCAGGTTTGATAGAAAAGTCCTTTTTCAAGAATGTAACCTCTTGTAGATTGAAGGTCACTGGAATCTATGTCAGGATTTGGCCATAAGAACCAAAGGTCTCAGTGACAGAGCCCTAAATTCTATCCAGCAGATATTTTGTGTTCATTATTAAACTAATGCAGAGTTTCTATGCCTTTTTTACAGGTTTTGGATCAGCCAAAGTATGAAGATAACTTGTACATGTATCTTTACTTTGTCATCTTTATAATTTTTGGATCCTTTTTTACCTTGAACCTTTTTATTGGTGTCATCATAGACAATTTCAACCAGCAGAAAAAGAAGATAAGTACTTCATTGTTATTCTGAAAAGAACATAAATTTTTTATTTTTGGTCCACTGATGACAACTTTATTAATAAATTTTTAAAATGAAAAATCAGTTAAGAGTGCTGCATAGTAAATACATTAAATTATTAAAGCTTATAGTTTGGCTTGATGAGGGTTTGATGGACAAGTGACCATTTTTTGAGTCTCCATGGCTAATGAAAAACCCGATGTCATCTTTGTAAAGATACGGATTTGAGACTGAAGCCTTGACTCATAAAAAGGCTAACCACTGAAGTAGCTAAATGTAGCTATGACAACTCTTTGCTATACTACCTTCACACAGCTCAGCAGTATAGACTGCTGAACTTTGATAATAAACAATGTATCATCTTTATTCATACCCTCTTTAGTCTTTGCATTTTATTTAACACTGCCTGAAAAGGTATCAGTGTTCCAGCTGCCAAACTTAACATTTTCTGCAGCTTACTACTTAATATAAAAACCATAAAAGAGGATTTTTATGTCTCTCCTAAATTTTCCCACAGACAAGAATGTGAAAAAGAGTGATCATTATTTATAAGTAATCAATAAAGATACATGATTGTAACCAGTTTTTGTCTCTTGGGTTTACTTTGGAGGTCAAGACATTTTTATGACAGAAGAACAGAAGAAATACTACAATGCAATGAAAAAATTGGGTTCAAAGAAACCACAAAAGCCTATACCTCGACCAGCAGTAAGAATAAAAATATTTTCTGTTATTTTTATATGTATTTAAAAATTGGATGTTTTCTATTATGCCTTAAGTTGAAGTAAATTGTAAGCTAAAAAATATGTGATATACGAAAAGCCTTATTAATCTGAAATACCTTTTTTTTTCCTTTCTTCTGCTACAACAGAACAAATTCCAAGGCATGGTCTTTGATTTTGTAACAAAACAAGCATTTGATATCAGTATCATGATACTTATCTGCCTTAACATGGTCACAATGATGGTAGAAACAGATGATCAGAGTGAGGACATGGAAAACATTTTATATTGGATTAACCTGGTGTTCATTGTCCTTTTCACTGGAGAATTTGTCCTGAAATTGATTTCACTTCGTCATTACTACTTCACTATAGGTTGGAATATTTTTGATTTTGTGGTTGTCATTCTCTCCATAGTAGGTAAGAGCAAATAATTTTTATGAAATTTCTTATTCTGTGAAAATGGAAATATTTTTGGCACATAAAATCTATTATATTTTGGTTCAACTTTGTCACTGTATAGTCTTATCTATAAGATATCTGAAAAGAAAGAAATTTTTAAGCAAGAGGTTTCACACACTCCTTTTATTGGTTGAAATTAGATCTTTATTCTGAAATGAGTAGAGATTCCTATGCAGACATGAAAGGCAATTTTGATATAAACTTAGAGTGACAGTTACAGGTAAAAGAGTCCAGCCATCCAAAATCCAAGAGCAAAACCTGTGTGGGACTGTCATAAGGGTAGGATGCATGAACCCCAGACGGGCAGGTACAACCCTTTTCTTACTTCACTTTTGTTTGGTCCTGAGAGGCTTTGTGCCTGAGCTAGAGTGAGCACTGGAGCACCAGAGCTGAAGCAGATGTGGTAACAAATAATGACTGCACTAATCTTTGCTTTATCTAGAGCAGCAGACTTGAAAGAACTTGAGTAAAAATTGTGTCATTTTGTGTTATTTTAACTTTTAAGTTTTCCTTAATATGCAAATCACTTTTGCTATTTTTGTGTCAAAAAAGTTATTTTTCTGCTTTGAGGCACATAATACAATGTTCAATAGTTTATTCCTCTGTGAATTACAAAAAACCTTTTTATCAGTTTTTTTATGTTTGGAATTTCTGTGTCATTAGTAATAAACCTGTGTTCATGTTATTTTATGTATGATTAAGAACTCGCAGTTCTCTTCAAAGAAACATATTTTTTTGAATAACCTAACTTGATTACATGGAATTTTAATACTACTGTGCACATGATCTTTCTTCAGATTAACTGAGATTATTTTTGTTACAATTAAACAAAAGGGTATTCATCTCATCTCAGCCTTTGCTAATATACCTGATATTTGCTAATATATATGATAACTAGTGATAACACTAGTTATCAGTCTGTCCTAAAAAAGTACACCAAAACACAAAGGTTTTGTAAAGAAAACTGAATGGCTAATTCTAATTCCTAAATATCTGTTTAAGTATCCTATTCTTCTTAAAGTTCTACCATTGTAGATTTGTACAATATATCTTTAGCAGTGTTTTTTCAATGTAATAATACTCTTTACTGATTTAACTTGTTCTTTTTCTAGGTATGTTCTTAGCTGAGATGATTGAGAAGTACTTTGTATCTCCCACACTATTCAGAGTCATCCGGCTTGCCAGAATCGGTCGAATCCTGCGCCTCATTAAAGGCGCTAAGGGAATCCGCACTCTGCTTTTTGCTTTGATGATGTCTCTTCCTGCTTTGTTCAACATTGGGCTGCTGCTCTTCCTGGTCATGTTCATCTACGCCATATTTGGCATGTCCAACTTTGCCTATGTCAAGAGAGAAGTTGGGATTGATGACATGTTCAACTTTGAAACGTTTGGCAACAGCATGATCTGCCTGTTTCAGATCACCACGTCCGCTGGCTGGGACGGTTTGCTGGCCCCAATTCTGAACAGTGGGGAGCCAGA